TATATATATTTTAAAACCCTCTGTTAGGCTAGGTATGTGTGTGTTATTAAATATGTGTATACTTTACATTGGAGAATGTATCGCTAAAGTTAAGACTCTACCTAACTCACTCGTCTCTGTTTTAAAGAATTATTAAAACTCTAAGTGCAACTTCGGAAGTGATTTATTAATCTATTAACAATTCAGGTAAAGACCCTTCCAACTGTTAACTTCATTGCCTGCAGGTCACTACTGCAGATTGATATATTGTATATATTTATTTAAGCAATATATTATAATATATATTATAAATATTATATTAAGTCCAATTAATTTATTTTAAACAATTATAGTCTTTAATTTTAAATTTAAAAATAATATTTTGTTTTATAATAAACTTTAAATAAAAAATTTTCTAGTTTATATATTATTATTATTATATTATCACTATTAATATTTTATTAAGTTATTAAAATATAAAAAACTTCCAAAAAAATAAATTAAAAAAAAATATTATTATTTAAAATATAAAAATATATAATAAAAAGTGAAAAAATTAAAAAAATAAATTTAAATAACTTTTTTAAAGATTTATCTTTCAAGATATAAAAAATATCTTATTAAAATATTTTTTATTTTTTTAATTATCTTTAAAATAATTTATTTTAATTTGATTCTTTAGCCATATTATTTATTAAATTTTTATTTTTCAATATTTTTATATTATAATTTGAAAATTATTTTATTTGAAGATTTAACTTAAATAAGATAAATTTTTTATTAAAATATTGTTTAATTGAAATAATAAAAGTAAAAAATTTTTGAATTGAATAAATAATATTCTTGTATTATTTGAAAACTTGTTATTTAAATTTTATTAACTTTATAAAACTCAAATATAATTAATTTAATTAAAAAAATAAAATAAAAATAAAGTATTAATTAAAAAAAATTTTTATCAATAATATTATTAAAATATATATTAAAATAAATAAAAGCTTATTTATATTCTATAATTAATATATTGTTAATTCTTTGATCATATATAAAAAAGATATTAATAAGAAGTTTTTTTGTTTCTTTGTTAATAAAGTCTTAATACTTTCCATAAAATAATTTGAAACCTGACTTCAAAAGTCATTTTTATTCTTCTTCTATTGTTTATAAGCTTCTTTATCCAAAAACATAACTTTCAATAGTTAAGAAAAGTTAAGTAATACCTTTGATACCAATAGTAAGAAAGTTTCTAAAGGAAGAAGAACTGATTTTAAAGTATCTGAAGATCCTTTTAACCTTTAAATTGAGAGGCTTACAAAAGTTTTATTGTAGTTAAAAGGCTTACTTTCTCTCTTTTAAACTGTTTTAGCTCTATTAAAACTTTCACTTTTATAATTTTCTGAAGAATTTTATCTATCTCAATTTGATTCTAAATTTATAATAGTACAAATTCTCATCAAAGGTGATTGATTAATATGAAACATATTAATTTTTGAAATATAAACAAGTTCCTATTAATTATATTCATATATTTTGATAATATTATTAGTAATTAGAATGAATATTTCAAAAATATTTGTTTATAAAAAGCTCAAGTTCTTAATTAAAACTTCTATAACATCAAAAGATCAAAGTGATAAGTAGTATGAATTGCAAACTTCTACCTCTTATTTAAGTTTCTCAGGTAGTAATAAAGCTTTAATGAAAAAAGTTGAAGTTTAAATACTTTTCTTGAGATATTTAAATTTGATATTTGATTAAATAAAGGATTAGTTGGATTGGCTTATTCAATGTTACAAGTGATAAAAAAAAAAGATTTTTTTTGAAATTCAAGTAAAACAAGAAGACTTTTTCAATCAAGTAAATGCCTTTTAAGAAGAGATTGGTTTTATTTTTGGATTTTTTTGATGGGTCTTGAATTGTTTCTTTCTTTTAATCAATTTTTTTTCTTTTTTCTTTTTACCTTAGCAATTTATTGGTTTTTGAATTCACTAACAGTAGCAAACTATTGGCAATAATTCTGATAAATAAAGGTCTTAATCAATCTATTAGGGGAGTATAATATTGTTTCCAAAATCTAATTTAGAATACTTATATATTAAGATAAGTTAGTCAAATTGTAAAAGTTTGTAAACTATTGTAGATTTTGATTTAATTTTTCAATAAAGACAAGCTATTGTGACATGATTGTGACTAAAAAAAAAGAATTAAATCAAAACAAATAAATTTCTTTTAAAATTTTCAAAAATAAAATTTTTTTGTTAAATATAACCTCTATAAATATTTTGCTTTAGAATAAGATTTTTAGTATTACTATACATTATCATTTTTTAACTTTTTTATTATATGTAAAAAAATTTTCTTGACTTTTTTTAATTATTAGAATTAAGTTTCTATATAAAAAAATATAATAAAAAAAGAGGCAATAGCTTTTGAAGTTATTATTTAAGTTGTTTTAAGAAAGAATTAAAACTTTATTAATCTAGAAATATAAAACTTTTTGCAAATATATTTTTATATATTATTGTAAAAATATTTTACTAAATTATAAAATTATTTTATTTTATAAAATCAAAAATAATAGATATTATATACTATATTTTTAAAAAATATAATAGATTAATTAAATAAAATAATTTAACAACTATTTATTAAAAAAACAATTTGTCAGAAAAACGATTTGTCAGAAAAACAATTTGTCCAAAAACAATTTTTTAAAAAAAGAATTTGTCAAAAAAACAATTTGTCAGAAAAACAATTTTTTGAAAAGTAATTTGTTAGAAAAATAATTTATTAAGAAACGTTTATTTAAAAAAACGATTTATTAGATTTATTATAAGAATAATTTATCAAAAGAATAATAAAACAATAGTTAAATTCAATATTGTACTTTTAAGTTTGTAGAAAACAAAAAGGTATAATAAGAAAAAAAGAAGAAAGAAACATTACACAGAAAATTTTTTATTATTGATATGTGTACTAAAGTAGAATCTTAAATAGCGACTTCGATAATTTTATCGTTTGTATTAACTAAATGCAATGCAATCCTCAAGCTAGATATAGAAAAATAAAGGAAAAAGGAAAAAAGAAAGAAAGAAAAAAAAAAAAAAGAGAAAAATTTTTTTACAATACAGTTAGTGAGAGATTGTCCTTTTTTTGCGAGTAACTAATAATATAAACGTCATACGGTATTTCCAATATAAGCGTCATGCGGTATTTAGAATATAAAAACTCCGAAAGTTTGTGCGTTAAATCATTGTAGACAGATGTAAAAAATAAGCCTATGATAATCGTGATACAGAAACAATGGTTTCTATTTTTGTTATTGATCCGGATTATCAAAGTCTACAGTTGACAAGTCATTTTATAAGTAGAAATAATAGATAGTGTCTATTGTATTTAATAATAACATTATTTATTAACTGTTATTAGAGTTTAACAGACCTGCGATTTCGGACTTGGATTCGATTAGATATGAAGTTATGTCGCATATTCATACCTTCCTCGACTGCTTATAAGAAATTTTTTTACGACCTAGATGTTTTATGGATTATAATTGATTTGAGTTTATCATGCAGACGCGAGATAATGTTCTGAGAGTTACTTTGAAAATTTCATTTTCTAAAAAAGAATATTTATTTAAATAAAATAGCGTAGTTATTTATTTTAATGAGATTAAATTACATTATTTAGATCCACCACGCACTATATTTCTTATTAATAGCATATGCTATATGGATTTTTTTATCTATCGTACGGTTAAGAACAGTATACTGGTGTGCCTTAAAGATTGCGCCACGTGCGTATGTTAATTCTGCATTAAGAATTGTAGACATCGAATGCCTATGGTAAAGAAATGATAAATTTTAATATACAGTAAATCTACTGATAGGTAAAATCACCTTGATTTTCGTCTTACCAAATGTATATAAATAAGATATCGAGTATTTCCCTTTTAAACATTATTTAACTCGTTTATAGTACGTATTTATCATAAATTTCGACTTAAAAGAAATCAGTTAGCGTAACTTTCTAATTCGAAAATTCCAAAGTTCTATAACATATCCAGTACATTTTACAGAATTTCATTATATTTTTTGTATATAAAATATCGCAAGACTATGAGATTTTTTCATATGTGCGCGCACTGTATATGTCTATTGTTATATAATATTTGGTATTTCAAATATTTGTTCCGGATATTTTTTTAGTCTCGATTCTTAAGAAATGCATTTAAAACTCCTAATTTGGTCAGGATTTAATGTAGTTTTGTATAGTTTTGTATTGATGTTGTTGCGGGTCGAATAGAAGTCGATATCTACGAATTGTGACCTTATGTCACAGGCGCCGGCTGGTTATGGTTACACAAGAAGAAGACACGGCTTAAGTACTCTGAGACGGTCTATAAATGATGTAAGTAACCCAAAAAAGATGAGAAATAGCAAGTTAGAGCAAAGAGTAAAAAAAAAAAATAATAAAGTGATAAAAAAAATCACAAGTAGTAAGCAATTCTACATAGAATTCGAATTTTATATAAATGTGATATAAGTAACATAGTAAAAAAAGAAAGAAAGAAAGAAATAGAGAAATGCGAAGCTTTGAAAATAAAAAATCCTTTTGACTTTTAAAAAACTGCAATCTAGGATGAGTGTATGCCAGACGCGTTTTTAAAAGTAAAACTCGACCAAATATATCACGCCTCTTTTGCATGATTGGTTGGGTGGTTGCCACTCTCACCCTTTATTGTAGGACTGTTTGTTACGCGGACGGTTAGGGAATAGGACAGACTCGTTGGTAACCCGCAACAGTATATTTTACTATCGCGAATTCATTGTATTAAATCAATTTACGAATAAGAGTCACGAGATTTTATTAAAAAAATATTGTTATTGTTGTATATTTAATTATGAGTGACTCCAAGAAAAAATCACTTTAATAATATGAATTCATATCGTCAGAGGCCGATTTTCCCTAATAATTTTGATGCCCTGAATTGAGGGAATGAAAACAATGATCGCTCGTATATGGCATTAGAAAATTGGTATTTCATTTGGACTCGCTATATTTATAGTTTTACAGATTATGATAACAGTAGGTTTGCTAATTAATCATAAAATTTAATATTATTTATATTAATATAAATCATAAAATGAACTAACGTTAAGTATAAATATTAAAATGTATGTTATTTAATTATAAATCCAATTTTCTCGCATGAACACTACTCTAAAACTCAAATAGAGGTAATCATAAAATAAATACCGGAGGCAGCTATATCAAGTTGAATTACGCGAGAGGGAAATATTGGGTGCACGAAATGTAGAATATACTATAATTATGTCTCTCTTTTGAAGTTCCACAAAAGAAAATTATCACCTCCGCGGACTTTAACGACAATGGTAATGAATTGGGAAATTATGTTACCTAAAACTTGTCTTTGAAATATCACAGTTGAGAATATAATTATTTAAAATTTTTTGTTTATTTCAATTATAACGAGTCTATAGCTAAAGGTCTAGAAATAACTCACGTGTTCTATTAAAATAATTGCAAAATTCATTGTTCTTATTTACTGTAGCTTGTGGGAAAAAATGAATTCTAACTTTTATATTAAAATTTGATATCACGACATTTTATTGTCATAACATGTTCTGGTGCCAATTCCAATTTGATTGGCGAATATAAAAACACGTGATTTTGTAATTTTCTATCTTACCTTTTACCTCCAATACTCTAAATTTTTAAAAACAATTTCTTTACTCTTTTATAATTATGTCATGCATAATTTTATAATCGCAGATGTAAATATATAAATTTATATAATTGCCAAGATTTATTGAAATATCAAGCTGATTTTAGTTTATATTTCGCGGTGATTTAAAAAGTTGCGAAAATCATTTTACACAGAATTTATGTGGTCGTTCTTTTTAATTGCAAAATATCTACCAAAACATAATTCCTGTAATTGACCTTACATTATAATAAATACCGATTGTAACCGTGTGGTTCTAATAATTAATCGAATAATATAATAGAGAAACAAGAGAAACATCAAAATTTTTGCATAGATTCGGCCTCATACTGTACGCATAATGTTTCATTTGTTAAAAATTGCCGGTATAATTGATTTATTCATTACTAAAATAGACGAGTTATAATTATAAAAAAAAAATCATTATTTTTATTTTGATAAATTTAAAAACAAACAGTAGAAAAATTTGCCCTTATAATAATATCTTTTACCATTTACCATATTCCCATTAATGTTTTCCTAAAGATATAAGTTATAGTGTATACGCAATGGGGTAATGTGTCTACTTGGGCATTCTTAATTGCTTTAAACCGTCAACACTTGGATTATTCTTTAACAGGGTATTCTGGAGGCTCTTTCGTAAATTAATATGCAACACCGAGGTGTAACATAAATAATAACCACGTGCCGTCTTTTTACACCGCCCTTGCCTCTCTACATTCATGGTTAAATGTTACATTATATTCTGTTTGATACTGCATTTACGGGACCAAGGACAGTGTATTGCAAATATTCAAAGGCTACACAACTTAACATTGACTTTATCCTCGACATTTTCACATATGGGAATATTTTCTTGAATTACCTTTGCAGAAAATATTAGTAGAAACTAATAAAAAAAAAGATAGGAAAGGAAAAGAGAAAAAATGAAAAGAGAACACATCGATTTAGATATTAAAGAATACTTTTCGGAGCATATTAAAAATAGAATGAAATATATTCATTGTGAACTAACTGAAAAAATAATTACCCTCATTACGCATCACTAGTAAGCTTTCTTTGTAAAGTCTTTAATTGATCACTTTCGGCACAACTTTTTTCAAATCAATTTATCATTATCGTTTCTATTTTAATTATTTGCTGATAATACGCCACATTCGATAATGCCGAGTTAAATATGCAACATGCATAACATAAATACTATCGGATAACGCCCGATGGTCAGATCATCATAATGCATACGGTCAACCCTATAAAAGAAACTGCGCACAAATAGGTGAAAATATCACGATCATCAAGATACAAGGGGTTTAAAAAATATATATATATATTTTTTTTTATTTACTACTTTAATAATATTTATTCAGTAATATAACTACAAAATGAATCTATATACTATGAAAGTTTCGTGAAATTTTATTATTAGCATTTAGGCTCTACATTAAAAATTTTTTCCTGCATCTTAAGAAACAATATTTTATTAATAATCTTATTTAATATATTTTGAATTACTTGTATATAAAATATTATTCAATATATTCAATAAAATAAAATAATTACTAATAAAAAATTAAATTTTAAAATTATTATCATTGATTTGTAATTATAGTTTCTTATTTATCTATTGTTTTATTATATAAAATAATTGAATTTATTAGATAAATACATTTTTTACAATCAATTTTATTTACAACAGAATTCTTATTAAATTTTAATAAAATTATTATATTGTGATACATAAATTTTAATAAACTCAAATTGTTAATTTAAATTGTTTAAATATAATATAAATTTGATTACTTAAGATATTTATTATTAAAAAATAAGTTTGTTTAGTTGAAGAAATTGATTAATTTATATAACATCAAATATTTTATTTATTTTTAATTAATAAATTATGATTAAATCTTTAATTATTACTTTATTACTAAAAAAATAATATTTTTTTTTTGTCTTCTGTCAGGTTAGTTACATATACTTTATTAAATACTTGTAACATATATATATAATATGATATGCTAAAGTTAATTCTTTAACTAACTCACTCATCTTAGTTGTTTTCCCTTTTTAAGTATAACTTTGGGAGTAATTTATCACTCCATTAGAAGTTCAAATAAACACCCTTTCAATTTCTAACATCATTGCCTGCAGACTACTATTGCAAATACTCTTTTGAATTCTAACAAAGATTAAAATCCAGTCATTTTATTCTATACTTTATTCTATCTCACAGGACCTGTTTAAGCATTGTATTTTTTTAATTCTTTTTCCTTTAATAGTATTTGATATAACCAATTTTCTGATACCTTGATTCTGTTTTTTTGTCTTTGTAGATGTGTCAACCTTTTGATCTTGTCATTTCTGTTAATTCTTAATATCTATTTCCACTTTATCACCTTCTCGCATTTGATGTTTTAAATTTTATTTTTAAAGTAATTATATATTTTTTTCTGCATCTTTATTATTCACTTTCTTGCTTCTTTACTGATTCTCTTTTCATAGCACTTTGAGTCTACTATTTCATGCATTAGGTCTTTTTCAATCAGTTTCATATAGAAGTTAAATATATCCCAACTAGTATTTGAGATCTTTTTACTAGTTGAGCTATTTTTTTATTTATTTCTCTTCTTTTCATTCTGTTATCAACTACAAATCTTATTTCTTTTTCTTATGACTTCTTTTTCCTATCTATCAGAAGTTTGTTAAAATCTTGTATTATATATCTTCTATACCTTTTTGCCAGGTTTTTATCACTAAGTTTTGTATACTAAATATTCTAGCAAATATTCTATTGACTCTTCTTGCTATTTATATGTAAAATATTTTATTTAGTTATACAAGTCTAGTCTTTTTATGGCTAGTTTTATTAACATGAATAACTCATTTTTGAAATAATAATATATCAGATAATATTATTAAAAAATCAATCAATTTTTTATTAATAAATTTAATTAAATTTAATAATAATTTAATTACTAAATATCATTATTTTGACTAGTATTAAAATAATTAATATTTATAATTAAAGTAATTAAAGTAATCAAATCCATTAGATTTATTATATCAAACAAAGATGTTAATTATATCTAATTTATTATTTTACTAGTTAAATATAATAAATAAATAATAATAAAATAAGAAAAATTAAATATTATATTGTATATCATATAAATTTCCATATTGTTTTATTAATTGAATCTATTTATTAAATCAATTAGAAATATTTTTATTATATATATTATATAATTTATCTATAGTAATGAGCTATAGGCAATGATTCGAGTGGTCAAAGAATAATCCAAGCCGCAAAGAAAATGAAATATTATCTTCTAAATTGCATCTAAAAAAGATTAAACTTTGTAGACAGGTGAGTCAATATGTGAAAGTCATAAAATATGTAAATATCAAATATATTTACAATAAAATGGACAAGCTATATTGGTCTGATTACAGGTTAAAAATATATATATATATATTATGTAATTTAAAAATAGAACTAAAATAATACTAATAAAAAAACTTCTAGTTAATAATTAAATAAATATAATTATGGATTAATCACTTTTTCTTATAGATCCTTGACCATTATTTCAAAAAAGTATTTTTTCAAAACTCTATATTTTAAAAGTAATAAAACTTCAAAACCCTCCTTAAAAACACCTACTTTATTTAGCAGTAGTTATATTTATCTTTCTTGTTTACTTTTTCTTTTTAAAACCCTTTATCTAAGAAATTAATAATAAGAAAACTTTTCTAAGAAAAAGAAACCAAACAAAAAAATATACTTTCTTTCTTTCTTATAAAGGTTCTAAAGTCTAGAAAGAAGTGTAGACTAATAATTCCATATTAACCTAGAAAACTGATATTAATATCATAGGCAAAAACAACTTTTCTCTCAAAGTACGGTAGTTTTTCTTGATATTTTGAAAAATTTTACCTATTCCAACTTGAACTTGAATTTTCTGTTATATCAAATTTTGGATAGATTGATTGGTTGTAAACTGGGATTGATTGCTTTAAGTGATATGACTATAGAATAAATACTTCTCTAAAGATCAAGTTGGATAAAAAAGCTATTATTAGATATCTTTTCTTTTTCCTCATTCTCTCTTTTTATAGATATTTTTAACTTTTCTTTCTTATTTTACTTTTTTTTTTTATTTCTCTATTTTTATACTGACTAGTTCTCAACTAGTACAAGTAATCCTTAGCATCAGATAGTGTTAAGTATCTTGAACAAGTCCTAATAGGTTATACTTCTCTAATGTATAGTAACAAGTTGATCAGTAGATTAAAATTCTAGATAGTACTAAACCTAATGATAGAGAGAAATCAGCAATACACTATTAAGTGTATTTGATCAATTTTCTCTTTATTTTTTGAAGAGACTATTTATACACTAGTTGAAATTATGTCATTTGGCAGCAGAATTATTGCCAAACTTGATTAAATTTAATAATAAAAATATTGTCAAATTCTTTTTGATTGCTGCCACTAGGCATATTACATTTCAATAATAAAGTAGCAATAAAGAATTTGACAATCAAAAATTTGGCAATCAAAAATTTGACAATCAAATTTGATAATCAAAAAATTCAGCAATCAAAAATTTATTAATAATAAAAAATTCATTAACAATTTGTCAAAAATTCAATAACTATTCAACAAAAATTCAT